CTAGTATATCCCTAGCAAAACATTTGTCTTAAGTCATGAATTCAAGTAATTATTTCAAGTATAGTTGAACTTAATTGTTTTGATGCATGTTTGGTATTTATAATTTATACTTCATCTCCTATTTACTTAGTGGCACTGGCACTGGTGGCTCATGCCTGTAACCCAAACTCTGAAGATGCTGAGATCTAAGGATTGAAGTTTGAAGCCAGAATAAAAAGAAAGTCTTTAAGACTCTTATCTCCAATGAACCACAAAAAGCCAAAAGAGGGTAGTGCATGATTCATTTTGAAGAGTCCAGTCCTGAGCGAAGAAGACAAATAAGAATTCCAGGCCCTGAACTCAAGAGCCATTAATGGCACGCACAAAAAATAAATAAATAAAGAGTGGAAATGTGGCCCAAGTGTTAGAGGGCTCTTATTGTGCAATAAAGCAAAGGGACAGTGCCCAAATGCTGAGTTCAAATCCTGGTAATGGCACACAGATACACAGACACAGACACACAGACACACATACAAAGTATTTAATGACTGACTTAAATACTCTGAGAACTCAAAAAGGACTGACAGATCAGCCTATAGGCTACATGCAATTCTGTGTAAACTTGCTACCTCACAGGGAAGTGACTCCCTATGGGCCTGCCAGGGCTGGGCCAACCACTAGAGCTAAGAATCAACAGGCCTGCTCTACTGCCTGGCTATAGGCAGCAAACGTTACTTACGAGAACCTGTTGAATTTGTGTGTTTGTGTATTTGTGTGTGGGTGTGTTTGTGTTCGTGTATGTGTGTATCTGTGTGTATTCTGATCCTGGGCCTTGAACTCATGGCCTGGATGGTGCTCTCCCTTAGCCTGCATGCTGTACTTGAGCATTTTTGCTCAAGATTAACACTCTACAACTTGAGCTACAGCTCCACTTTTTTTGATATTTTTATTTATTTATTTATTTTTTGGTAGTTAATTGGAGATAAGTGTTTCATGGCCTTTTCTGCCTAGGCTGGCTTAGACTTCTGAATACCTAGGATTATGGGCATAGGCTACCAGTGCCTGACTGAGAATCTCTTACTATTTTTTAAGGTCTTACTGCTAGTATGAGGAGCCAGGTGCCAGACTACAGCCTGTATCTTCCCACTGCCCTCCAAAAATCTGTCCTACATTTCTATTTGCCTGAAAGTAGACTAAAATTGTAAGTTGTATTAAAGATTCAGAGAGGTAGATTCTCTAACCATTAAGAGAGAGAGAGAGACAAAGAGAAAGAGAGTCAGAGACAGAGAGATGGGGTGGGGAGTTGTAGTTCAGAAATATGTATTGATCACAGTAGAAACAATGTAGTTGAAAATCAAAAGCAAATGGTATGGATTTGAGAGAGCCAAGGTATAATTCTGGATTTAGCACTTACTAACATGGATGTTACACAATTTCCTTTCACCTCAGTTTCCACATGTTAAGATAATGTTCAGTGCGCCTATCATGACTCTTAGGACAATCACATAAATGAAAATAAAAAGCACTTAGTAAATATCAAGTACAAAGCAAGTGAATCACATTGAGCCATAGTAGTGATTTTAAATGACATTATTTCAGTTGCTATTAGTGCTAATGGCATTTTATGTGTGCTAGGGTTTGAAAACTGGTGGCCTTTTCTGTATATAGTATGAAATTTACCATAATATCTCCTTCTGAAACCAATGAATTTATTATAAGTGGGAAATTGAGATGGAGTCAAACTCCTCCTAAAAGTTCGTGCTGGTATGCCATATTGCAATGCTTTAGAATTCCTAGATTCTACAAGACATTTTCTAACAAATATGTCAAAGTTGTACTCCAATTTATTTGCTTGTCCTGCCATTTATATCTATTTTACAAAGCTCTACTAATTACATTGAAAAGTCTTCTTACTCATGTAGATTTCGGAATCATGGGTAAATATGATGTTTTGTTCAATGTTGAGGTGATCAAGCCTCTATGAAATGGGTTTTAGGGTCTGGGCAGTAAAGAATGAAGATTTCTAGTTCAGTACGCCCCTTGGTAACAGGAAAGGAGATACTAGGGAATTATTTTTCATGTTGTGCTATCGCCTGAATTGAAAAAGTATAAACTCATAATTATCTAGTGTGATTTACTATTTTGATTGAGCTCCAGGTACCGCCGTGGTAAGATGACCTTATGAACAGTATAACATTGAATCCCCAGAAATCAATAGGGATAATAAAATCTTTTTACTGACCCTTCTGTCCTACTCACAGAATCAATTGCTTTTTACCTTCTGTTTCATTTTTTTTTCATGAAAAGTTCCACAATTCATTTTACTACCTGTCAAAAGTGAATTTGTGTGTGTGTGTGTGTGTGTGTGTGTGTGTGTGTGTGTGTGTGTATGTAATAGAGTTGTTTGATATTTCAATTCTCTGGCATGATTTTTTTTTCATCTCTGTTCCTAGGATGCTAATATTCTTATTAGCACCTTACGCCCCTCCTTCCCCAATTCACAATAAAACCTCATTCAGTGACAGAGAAATATTAACACAAAGTTTATTAGATGCAATTAGGATTCATACACATTTTTTTTTTTTGTCGGTCGTGGGGCTTGAACTCTGGGCTTGGGCACTGCCCCTCAGCTCTTCAGCTCAAGACAAGCACTCTACCACTTGAGCCACAGGGCCACTTCCGGTTTTCTAGTGGTTTATTGGAGATAAGAGTCTCATGGACTTTCCTACCCGGGCTGGCTTTGAACCACGATCCTCAGATCTCAGCTTCCTGAGTAGCTAGGATGACAGGCGTGAGCCATCGGTGCCCAGCTTTCATACACATTTTTTTTTAATTCTTCAAACCACAGGACTCTCTGAATTATTTGTGAGAATAACAATAGAGTAACAGAACCTTTTATTTCCCCTTTCTCTGTGAATGAGAAGTCACTTCTAAGTCAACAATCATATGAATTCTATTTACTTGGCAGTGAGTTTGAAAACCCTTGACCCTAGTTTTCTCTCATAGGGAGATTGTCTCCTATGGAAAAGTTTACCTCTTGGTAAAAGTTTACCTCTTATTTGCAACGCAGTTACAGGCTCCCTACATTTAGTTTGCTGGATCGTTGCTCAACCTCAGAGCACTTTGAGATCATTTATTGGACAGTGAGGAATCTAGCTCAATGGTACATTACTTACCTAGCATACATGAGGACCCTGGTTCAATCCCAAGAACCACAGGGGGAAAAGCAGCTCTTGGAAGAGAAATGTTCTTCTTCTATATATACTATGAAACCAGTTTTCCCTGGTGCCTACCAAAAGAGTCCAGCTCATTTCACAGCCCTGATTTCATAATTCAGCCTTTCTACAGGGCCATTTATTGTAATAGATGCTAGAAAATGCATAGTTTGATGAAAAAGAAGTGAATTTGGCTCTGCAATGAGGTTCATTCCATGAAGGCTAGTGAAATATTTAGCACCCATCTTCTGAGCTGAGTATGGCCTATGACTTACGCATTGTAACTGTGTGATCCATTTGAGGATTGCTTATTACACCAGACTAAATTCTTGCCCTATACTAGGTAGCATGTAATAGAAAATATAAATGGTACTTGTCAAGTCAACACTTTTGTGTTCTGTTTATTGATTGAATCAGCTTTCATATGACTGTACATAGTCATTTATAACCCCAATTGATGAGATCCAATCCTACAAGGAGTCTTTATAAAGCAGATAAGCATTTAAAGGGAAAGATATAAAGAAGTAGAAATTAGAAGACTGAAGCTCTTTTTCAGGTACCTAGCAATGTAATACAATTCCCTGATGGTATTTTTGTTTTTGCCTAAAATCTATACCTGCTTTCCTTCAGAGCTGACTATTTACCCAAGGTAAGTATCTCACAGTAAAATACATATTTTATAAAAAAAAAATCAATTGGGTTTCTAAAGTGTGAAACCAAAGGCAGAATCTTAACGTTACATTCCTTTTATCTTCTGTATCTGAAATATCACTGCATCTGGAATGCCATTAATTTCCTATGCTTTACATTAGACTCCCCAAAATGTAGTTTTATAACCATCTTCAGTTAATCTGTACAATCAAAATAGCTCCCTAACACCCAGCCAAGATTCACTTTCTCACTTAGAGTTCATCTTAACATATCTCTAGATCCTTCATAAAATGTACAACACAGTAGGGCACTGATGGCTCAGACCTATAATCCTAGCTAGTGAGGCAGTTGAACTTTAAGGATCATGGTTTGAAGCCAACCTCAGCAGAAAGATCCATGAGATACTTCTCTCCAATGACCCAGCAAGATGCAGAACTGGTAGAGTGTCAGCTAAAAAAAGCTAAAGGACAGTGTTTGGACTCTGAGTTCAAGCCCAGTACTAGGGTCCATGTGCATGTGTGCACACAACACACACACACACACACACACACACACACACACACACACACAATTAAAAATATAGAGCAGACCTTATCCCTCAGATTATGCAAATTGTAAACAAAGTAAAAATAAAAGCCCACTCATCTTTTTATGTTTCACACTTACCTCTTTGGTTTTCATTGACAAAAATACCCCACAATACAACACACACACACACACACACACACACACACACACACACACACACACACACACACATCATGCTGTCCTCCATTCTGAGAATTCACTTCAATTATATGCTTTTTAAAGTTGATTTTTTTTTGTCATTCCTGGAGCTTGAACTCTGGGCCTATGCACTGTCCCTGAGCTTTTCAGCTGAGGTGAAAGTTCTACCACTTGACCCATAGTGCCACTTCTTTAAATTAATTTTTCTATATCAGTATAAGGCAAAGCCAAAAACACTTCCTATCTCCCCCCCCGAGACTTTTCTGTACTCAAAATTCAACATTAACCTCACCCACATACATGTCCAATATGTCTATTTTACCATCAGAGCTCTAGAATTTAAGGAATACAAAATAGATGTCTTTGGGAACCGTTTTAATGGAATCAGTGGAGCCTACGCCATGATGATGTTCTTCTGTCTCATTCTAGGAACATGGAATACCTGTCAACATGGGCTATGCGGTGGCCCCTCATCATTCAGGGGTCTACCCTGTTCATATTCAGCTATATACAGCTTGGAAGAAGGTCTGGGGAATTCAAGTCACAAGCACTGAAGAATATCCACATCTGAAACCTGCACGGTACAGAAAGGGCTTCATTCACAATAGTATCATGGTGAGCACCTGCCACTGTGGGTAGTCAAAGGATGTGAATATGTATGTGTGAAGTGAAGACAGCTTGACATTATCTGTAAGGCTGGAACATTCAACTTCTTTTGCATCAGAAATTGTGAGGGCAGCCTGATGGAAACTGCCCATACATTAACAAACTCTTTGGTTGTAGACTCACTTCCTAAGCTACAGGGTGGAGTCCAGGCATCTACGGCAGGCTAGGAATTGTGGGAAGGAATGTTGTCTAGATTATCCATTGACCTTGCAGAATTGCAGTATTGTTTAGAGATCCTCTAGTTCCCCTGAGAAATTCCCCAGTACCATTTGTGTGAGTAGTTTTACTGAGAGTTTACGGCACAATGTGATATTATGGATCAAAAACACACCTTTCAATTCACTCCTCTATCAACAGACAAAGAACTGGCATCTTACAGTTAAATTTGTTCACTCTGCTTATTTTGACTTGCAGCTACTCTGAGTGTCTTAGGTTGCTTTTTTTTCTTTTCTTTCTTCTTCTATGTATTCCCAAAGGAGTAGAATATATTTTTTTCTAATTTCTTCTGGGGTGTGTTAATTGGAATAAATAAGAATCTGATTTAAGAGTTATATATTATGTAGGGAAATAGATAAACCTGGAAAAAATTATGTTCAGTGAAATGCTCAGAGAGATGAAAGTCACCTATTTGCTTTCCTTCTTGGAACTTAGATCTACATTATAACAGATTTGAGTGGAAAAGCTAAACCCCAAGTCCAGGCCCTGAGTTCAATCCACAGTACTAGAACAAATAAAACAATGAAACAAACAGCCCCCCAAAATAAAACAAAATCATATATGAAAAAACACAGGGTTATATACACGTATGCACAAACATATTGACTAAAATATGGCATATCTCCTTTGAACATGTAGCATACAATTGAACAAAATGTATACCAAAAAGTTAGAACATGTGTTGTTTGGATGCAGGTAAGGTCAAGGGGTCAGGGGTAGATAAATAGAGAGAGGAAAGGTCATAATATGCAGTCATGATGCAGAAATACATACATATGCATATATATATACATGTATCTATACATTATATGCAACATTTACTTGTTTACATATATACAATGTGTGTGTGTGTGTGTGTGTGTGAGAGAGAGAGAGAGAGAGAAAATGGAGCCAGATAACCTGAGGAGTGATGAGTTTGGAAAAGATGGAGAAGTACAATGGAAGAGGTGACATGGATCAAGATGCAGTGTGCTCATAAACTGACATGTTCAATTGAAATCTTTTGTACAAGTACTTACAGATAATAAAATGTATAAATAAGCATGATATAACTGCCATTACAAGTGATAATAAAATAAATATTAAATAGGAATTTAATTTATTCCTTGAAATAAAAGAATGGTATCACTTACTTTTATCAACTCTTTCCAGTTCCACTGGAATATCTGGTGCCCTCATTAGTTATTAAAGTCAACAGGGTTTGCACACTATTCTCCTTCACTTAAATATTTACATTACCCTAAGCTATTACTTATATTGCTATTGAAATTACCTTAATATATCTGTCTTTCTGCGTGTCTATCTCTGATTCTCTATCAGAGTCTATTCACCTAACCACTATTCAGAACAACGGAAAGGCACATATACCTAACCAGAGTAAGCGCTTGATATTCACTTATCACAAAAGTTTAATTATTTTATTGTAAATTGATCCCAGAGCACTAAAGAAGACTCAGACTTAAATTAAACCATTGATAATGCAAATAGTAGGATTGGTGCCCATGAAAATATGAGATATAAAAAGAAAAATACTCCGATAATATAAAGTCAAAGTAAAGTACCTGATATTTTACTCTATTAGGTTTCATAACCATTAAGCAAGTTCTGAAGTAAAAAAAAAATCCTTTTAACCAATATTGCATGCATTCATTTACCTTGAGTTTAATATAAAAAGGAAAATTAAATGAAGAATAAATGGAATTGTATTTGCTGTGTGCAATTGGATGCATTCTTTATTAAATTATAAGTAGTTTGTTATTCAAACTAAAGTTGTAGAACAAAATTATGTATTTGTTTCTCTTCATTTGGACCTTCAGATTTACAGCAGAACTCACCAAAATATACCAGAAATAAACATGAGATAAGATTGCTACTACTGCAAAAAAGGAATCAGTTCACACAGAGGGGTAGATGATGCAAATTGAACCCTACAATGCAAGATTAGATACTAGAAGTTATGAGAGGGAGGACCTAATCGCAAGAAAATAACGTGATGTTGCAGGCTATTTTCCAATTAAATGAATTAAACACAACTTTTCTTTCTTTTTAACCAATCCTTTCACATACATCAGGTGGTATTTTTTATTCAAAACCTGAATAAGCCCTGATTTACAACATATACCTGTCATCCCAGCCCTTGGGAGGCTGAGACACAAGGATCATGATCTGGAATACATCATGAGTTCCAGGCCAACCTAGGCTACATAGCAAGACCCTTTCTCAAAATGAAACAAACAAACCCTCAGTAAAATTTGATGATTTTGTTTTTGGTGTATGGGGAGGGCAGCGTTGTTTCTAGAACTTATCTTAAACTCTCTTGCTTACCGGATTTGCATGGTCAGCTGACACTGTATTGCTTGACCTATACCTCCAACTCTACTGTTTGCTGGTTATTTTGGAGATAGAGTCTTATGGACTTTTGCTCTATCTGGTTTGAAATGTGTTTCTCTGGACCTCAGCTTCCTGAGTAGCTAGAATTATAGTCATGAAGTCCCTCACACTCAACTAACTTTTTTTCTTTCTGTATTTGTTGTATCTTTGTTGAATTCATTTGACCTATCTAGTCTATATTTTGGTTTGGTAATGCCTTAAATATTTACAGAAGTATGCTGTTATCAACTCTTGATTAAGATTTTGGTTTTAACAAATGAATAACTCCAATAAGAACTGCAATTTTCATATTCAGAAATTATGATGTAGTATACAATTCTTCATTAAAACATGACAGTGTGTTGTTTTTACCCACTTTTTCTCAGGTCCTTCCTCGACAGACCTGTGGGCTATTCACCCATACAATTTTCTACAAAGAATATCCAGGAGGACCCCAAGAATTAGATAAAAGTATCAAAGGAGGGGAACTGTTCCTCACAATCCTTCTAAACCCAGTAAGTACTCTGTTTATGAATCTTAGAATATCTTCAGAGTTTTCAAGCATGCTTCATTTTTATTTTTTCAACTATTCATCTTTATTGATTCTAGATTTATATCCACATGTCCAGCCCCTTTTCCTGATAAAATTTGATTTCCCAGGATCTGATTTCTTGATAGTTCTGACTACATGGCTGCGTTTTTTATTTTTACTGTGGACGGTGAGAGAACTAGTTCTAGCAGTAATTTTATCATTTTTCCTTTCCCCTGATTCATTAATGTCTGATTGACAAATTAACATATTATATATTTGCAGTATATATAGTTTTCCATCTATAAAATCATGTTGTTCATGAATGAAGACAACTGTCTTTGGAATTTAAATGCTTTTCACTTCTCTGTATTGGCTAATTGCTCTGGCTACACTTAGTTCAATTTTGAATAGTAGTCATCAGCATGGTAATTTTTCTCTTTTTTTTTTTTTTTTTTTACAAGGGTGTCTTAAAGAGAAAGCCTTTTGCATTTAGCATTTTTAGTTAGTTTGCTGTTATTCATGGCTAGGTTTATCATTCATATTTTACTTTCATTGTATTGATACACATTACTTTTAAATATTATTTGGAGTAGTGTTTGTATGTGTGTGTGTGTGTGCACGCACGCACATGTGCATGTTGATACTGAAGCTTGAACTCAGAGCCTTGGTGCTGCACCTGAGCTTTTTCTTCAAGGCTAGAAGGCTAACAATCCACCATTTGAGCCAGAGAGCCACTTCTGGCATTTCAGTAGTTTACTGGAGATGAAAGTTGTGCAGACTTCCTTGCCCAGGCTGGTTTTGAATGAGTCCTCAGATCTCAGCTTCCTGAATAGCTAGGTTTATAAGTGAACCAACAGTGCCTGGATGTAATTAGATAGATAGATAGATAGATAGATAGATAGATAGATAGATAGATAGATAGATAGATAGATAGATAGATAGACAGATAGATAGATATCATGAAAGAATAGTAGGTGTCAAATAATCAAGTGCTTCCTATCATTCGTTAATGAATATAAGTTATATCACACCAAGTGATTTGTCTACATTGAACAAAACTTGGATCCCTGGACAAATTCTGACTGATTGTGGTGAACAATCTGTTTATGTACCATTGAATTTTACTTTATTCTGTGGAGGATTTTTAAATTTATGTTCATAGGTGAGACGGGGCAATAGTTTTCTTTTGTTGTTGTTGTGTTTTTGTTTTGTTGTTGTTTTGTTTTGTTTTGTTTCTGCCAGTCCTGGGGCTTGACTCAGGGCCTAGGTACTGTCCCTAAGCCTCTTTGTACTCAACCTAGCGCTCTACCACTTGAGCCACAGCACCACTTCTGATTTGTGAGTGTTTAATTGGAAATTAAAGTCTCATGGGGACTTCAAACCATGATCCTCAGATAAAGAAACTTTTAATAGCTAATTCTGTCTCCTTTTTCACTATTGGTCTCTTCAGGTTTTCTCTTCTTTTGTAACTCCTTCTTATGAGGTTTTATGCTTCTCTCCCAAATTTTCTAATGGTTCATAATAATCATGGTCCATATTTCTGTTGTAATGGCTCTTCGTCCACTTCTGATTTTATTTATTTGAGACTTTTCTCTAGCCAAAGGATTCTCTATTTAGTTTTCTTTTCCAGAATACAACTCCTAGTTCACTTATCTTTTTAAAATTATTTTTTTAGTCTCTAATAATACTCTCTATTTCATTACTTATGCTTCAATCTTTGTTTACCTCTTTGTGCTGTTTAATTACTCAAGATGAGATGTACAATACACTATGTTGAAAATGAACTTTACAACTTCGGTGGAGAGGGAGGGGGTAGAGGGTGGGGGTGGTACTTATGGAGCTGGGAGGGAAGGGATGGTAGGGGAAAAACAAAGGAAGAGGCAACAATGTTCGCTAGGAAATGTACTCATTACCTTACTCATGTAACTATAACGCCTCTGTACAATGTATTTACAATAAAAAAACATACAAAAAAAAAAGATATAGAGCCAGATGTAGGTGTGGCTCAAGCCTGTAATCCTAGCTACTCAGGAGGCTGGGACCTGAGGATCACTGTTCAAAGCCAGTCAGGGCATGAAAGTCCAGGAGACTCTTATCTCCAATGAACCAATAGAAAACCATAAGTGGCACTGTGGCTCAAATGGTAGAGTGCTTGTCTTGAGCTGAAGAGCACAAGGACAGCACGCAAACCCAGAGTTCAAGCCCCATGACCAACAACAACAACAAAAATATATAAAACTATGTTGCTTATTTAATAGTTTTCTCGCTTTTCTTAATGTAGATATTTAGTGCTACGAACTTCCCTCCTGGAATTTCTTCACATCCCTTTCACTAAACTAGAGAAATTAGAATACATCACCCAATAGTCTATTTCCCTAATGAAGCATAATCAAAGAAACCACAGATTTGCCAAGCATGTATGGAATATAATCATTAAATGTAATATAATACTCAAAGTTAGTTTCCATTCGCAAAAGGTAATAAATATATATTAACATGCTCACTAGCAACATTAATAATCTAATTAGTAGTACATATCTTAACCTTAAATTGAGTTTGCTTTCAGCTTGAGATATCAGTAAGCATGCTTTTTTCAATCTCTAAAAATGATCACAGAGCAAACCATATGAAAATATATAACCATGTTTTGACTCAGGTGAGGTGAGATTCATTTTTAAAATTTTTACTAATTTTAGTGAGGATCAAAAATAGGGATTTTTTCTCTTTTTCCTTTCATCTTTCAAAAATGTGCATTTTTTTCAGTTAGTGAATATGTGTATAACAGCCTAGCAGCAAGATTAGATAACACAAAGATTGTTCAGCTTTCTGATTATTCACCTATAATGATCCTATGCTGAGATCTTGGGAGATACATTCTCATTTACATCCACAGCATGTGGGAAATATGACATGATGAATTTATATGATGTCATCTTGCTTAATATAAGAAATTTTCATGCTCAACACAAAAGATGCAGACTTTAAATAACAATATGTATAGTCGCATGGACTATATTTGAGAGGAACATTAGTTAGATAAAGATGAATGTAATATTTTAATTGTTTTAAATATTTTAATTAAGGAAATTAAATTAAGATCTACATTGTGTGAAATCTTAAAAGAACTTTGAGATTGGATTCGAAGGTGTATAGAAACAGAAGTGAACATATTTTATTGGTGTATGATTTTTAAAACTTGCCCCTTCAATTGCCTTGTTACTACAACCAAAAGAACAAAAATAGGTTTCTGGATTGGTGTGTTGAAATGACATTAAATTTTCGAAGGAAGATTGGGTGCTTTGTGATCTCCAGTAAGAGACTTATGTTCTCAGACTTGTGATTCTCCTACAGTACTATATAGTCCAGTATGCCCCTGAGCTTTATCTGTTGGACTTAAATCCAAAAATATTCCAATATTTGGAGCTACTGAAAGCTTTATGCATTTTTTTTTTTTTTTTTTTTTTTGGTGTCAGTCCTAGGGCTTAAACTGGGCCTGGGATCCGGACCTTTATTGCTCGAGTAGTGCTCTACCACCTAAGTCACAACTCTGCTTCCAGCTTTTGGTGAGGGGTGTGGGATTAATTGGAGATAAGAGTCTCCTGGACTCTCCTGCTTAAACTGTCTTTGATCTCCAATCCTAGGATCTCAGTCTCTGTAATCCTTAGGATTATAGGTGTCATCACTGGCATCTGGCTTTTTGTATACATTTTTTTTTAAGTTCCAAGAAATTATGAAAGTAACTTTTGAAAATTGATGTGGAATATTCATGAGAATAAGGGTGGAAATCTCCTCTCTTCCCGGCCTTCTTTCATGGAGAATTTAATCTCAGCAGAGGCCAGGGTCACTTCATCATATCATTTTCAATCTGGAGTTGCCTTCTTGATCTGCTCTGGTTGTTCTGAAGGGGAATTCAATAATCATTAGAGCTCAGTGCATCCTCTGAACCTTTGACCCCATTTGATTGCCATTCGTGTTTACTGCTTGGATTCTTGCCAATTCCTTGTCATTCAAGGTATAGATTTAGATCTCTAATATTTGTAAATATTTTGAATCCAGTACCCTTCATAAAGTCATCAGACTGAAGATGTAATGTGGACCTTTAAATAAGAGGAAACAATATTTGCTTTCTAATATTCTATTCCTGGCATTTGTGAACTAACAAAACCATACTTAATCCTATATAACTCAATTAAAAGACTTTCCATTTGTTTTTAATTTCAAGCAGAAGAAGTAAAAGAAGAAAGTCAGATTTCTTTTTCTTTTTCTTCTCTTCTTTCCCTCCTCCCCTCCCCCCAGTCCTGGGACTGGGCAGTCGCTGTCCCTCAGCTAATTCTTTGGCTCAAGGCTAGCACTCTACCACTTGAGCCACAGCACCACTTCTGGCTTTTTCTGTTTATGTGATACTGAGGAATCGAACCCAGGACTTCATACATGTTAGACAAGCACTCTACCCTGAAGCTACTTTCCTAGCCCAGTCAAAAATTTTCTTGTAATCAGTTGCAGACTGTACTTGATTTAACCTTGGGAATTCATGGCGAAATCAATATAAGGTACACAGGGAAAGGTAAGAGATCAAGAGAGCAGACGATCAGGACACATTAGAATTGATGTCATTGGTGTTGTCCAAACAGAAATGCTGCAGATGTGTTTGCTAACATGTTTGGTTGATGGTATTTCAGGGTCTGCTCACAACCCCAATCTTGGTAGGAAAATGCTATGCCACTTGAGCCACGCTCCCAGCCCTTTTATTGATTTAGATGCTTTTTCAGATAGAGTCTCTTTTTTCTGCCTGGGGCCAGCCTTGGACTCCAATTCACACAGAGATAACATCACAGTTAGCTGACATTACAATCACTTGCTGAGACACCCAGCTTATTTGTTGAGATTAAAGTTCTCCATAGGGAAGTGGCGCTGTGGCTCAAGTGGTAGAGCGCTTGCCCGAGCTGAAGAGCTGAGGGACAGCACCCAGGCCCAGAGTTCAAG